CGGGGGTGACGAGGAACTGAGAAAAAGAAGTAAAGACGAGACACAAGAGTAGGATTTACAGCATGTGTCCAGGGGTCCAGCGCAACCGTGGGAACAGCACTGGCCCCAGCTCTGGGCTCCACACACGTTTCTTATGTGCATAATCTCATGGATTTTATGGGCGTGGAAGGGGAGGGTCAAGGAATGGGTAACATAGCTGGGCAGAGAGCACTGGAGATCCCTCTAACGCTCGGCATTTATCACTGATTGTCACCAGGGTGCAGCTGCGCCAGAAGTACATCAGATGAGGAACCACCAGGTCTGACCACACCCACTGCATCAGAGGCGTTTATCATAGAGCAAGTAAAATCACTCCATGTTCCAAGAACCTCCGCAGAGCCTGAGGCGCTCCGTGCCCTCTGCCCTGCAAGGCTTTTCTCCTCCTTGCCAGCTCCCATCTGCAAAGACCCTCCCGGATCCTGTGAGCAGAGGTCACTCCCTTCTCAGAGATCTTTGGACACGCCCTCTTTACGAGGCCCCCATGCAGTCTCCATGTTGAGAAGACATTCGTGGGACCAGAGCCGTGTCCCCTGCCCTGCAGCCACCCCGGTGTCACTGCGGGACGGTCTTCACCTGAGGCCTCCTGTTGCCTCTTCATTTCTCATTGACTGCACCAACAGTGTAGTTTACTTCGGTGTATAAACTTCAGTGTACTCCAAGCCAAGCAAGCTTGTCATGATTTAGCCAGAAGTAACGTGGGTCTCCCCAGCCACCTTGACCCACACCTTCCTCGTCTGGATCCAGGCTCCTGAGGAACCATCAGAGGCAGCCTCGTGTCTGTTCCCAGCGTTTCCTTCTGATTCCCCCTTGCGGTGTCCACCTCTCTGCTGACGTTGCCCGTCTGTTCCCCATCTGTTCTTGCTTGCTCCCTACTTTTCCCGTAGGGCCTTTACCATATTAATCAGAGTGACTCTAAATTTCCCGCCTGATCATCCCAGCACAGGTGCTGTATGCGGGTCCCTTCTCAAGCGTGCATTCTCTGCACACTTTTATTTTCTTCCCGCTTGTAGTACGCCTTGTAGTTTTTGTGGAAAGCAGGACATGCTGTGTCTGGTACTAGGAACTGCAGTACACAGGCCTTTGCTGTGAGGCTTATGTTTCCTGGCCAGGTTTGGGGCAGGGTTTAATGTCTGCGTAGCTGTGGGTCCCAGAGGCTTCACATTTGATTCCATTTCCTCAGCTACCCTTGGCTTCCCTAAATTGTCCTCAGAGAGTCCATGTCAGCCCTCACTGCTGGAATCCCCCTCATGCTGCGGAGGCCCCGTTGGTGTGTTGAGAAGGTGATACGGACTAAATCTCAGTCTCGGGGGCCTGTGCCCTTTCACAGTTGTGTATCTGCTTTTCCGCTCCCGTAAATGAGACAGAAAGGCCAAAGAGGGGTACAGGCTGAAAAAGTCTTCCCCCAAGTGAGATAAGTCTTTCCCTCAGAGAGCAAATTCCATTTGCCATGGAGAATGCTCCGGGTGTCAGTCACAGCGGTGACTGTTCCCCTCCCATGCCAGAGCCCAGAAGGGATCTTCCTTGGCTTCATTAAGACCTGGCAGGGTTCCCAGAGGGGAAAACCCACAGAAGGCTTGGGGCCCGGTAAGACAACGGGAGCCCAGGAGTTCCGCAGTCGGCCGCAGCTGTTCCCAGGGCTGCCTGGGAGGTGTCCCTGCAGCTCCTGCGCCATCAGCTCTGCTCCAGGCCAGCAGGTCTCAGCAGTGACTCTGCTCACCCGACTCTCCAGACTTTGGGCTCGTGGCGGTGCTTTGACCTCCGCGCTCTGATGCGTCCAGGAAAAGTCATCGGCTTTCATTTCTTCAGCATTATTCCTGCTGCCGGGATGGGAACGAGACTTTCCATGTTGTTCGCAGCAGAGCAGAAGCCAGGGTCCTTGCTCGTCCTTGTGTTTCTTCGTCAGTCATGTATTTTATTTCCTGGACCCAGGTGTCTTATCAGACAGGTGACGGGCAGATTTCCTCCTGTTCCGCGGGCTCTCTTCTCTTTCTGGAGGGCACCATTTGCAGCAGGGAAGTCTTGGACCTTGACGTCTGATGTGGCCATTTCTTCCTCGGCTGCTGTGCTTTGCTAAGGATCCATCACCTCAGCTGAGGCCGCAGGGACTGACTCCCACACTTTCTTCTAAGTGTTGTATAGTTTAAGTTCTGATCCATTTTGAGTTAACTTCTATGATCGGTGTCAGGGGCGGGTCCAGCTTCATGCTCTCGTGGGTGGATTTCTGATTGTCTTAGCGCCGTTTGCTGAAAAGATGATTCTTTCCCCCTTTGAATAGCCTTTGACATCACACCTTGTCTTCCCACTTGCCACTTTATTCCATCCGTCCGGATGTCTGCCCTGAGCCGGGACCCCACCATCTTGATGACGGCGGCTTTGTAGCAAGCTTTCAAATCAGGACCCGTGGAGCCCCCAGGTTTGCTCTTTTCTGACATGATTTGACTATTCTGGTGCCTTGCATTTCCAGTGAATGCCGAGAGGTTTGGCAGCGGCACCTGAGCTGCCAGGCAGATGTGTGATGGCGTCAGGGGTGGAAGCCCGGCCCATTTCCCAGGCCTCTCGTCACTGTGGGTGACATCTGGGGTCCGATGCTGCGTCTCAGCACGTGTGGAGGTGCCATGGGGCCCTGAGATGGGGATTCCTGTGGGAGTTACTCAACTCATCCAGGAGAGACCCCCACCCCCCACTGCCTGCGGGATGGGAAATGACAGCAGGGCTTGGCTTTCAAGCAGAAATCCGGAAACCCTGTGGGAAGTGGCTTCAGCCTTCAGGGGACGTGGGAGCATCGCCCGTGACTGAAGAGGTCGCCTGTCCTGACGGCGCTGGGCTTTCAAGTGCCCACACCCATCAGTCATGGGCAAAGGGCGCCCCTGTGGCCTCCTGGCCCGTGTGTGCCCTGGCAAAGGGCTCCAGCCACCCAAGGCAGGCCGCTGAGGAAGAGGTGCAGGCGGAGGCCATCAGAGGAAGGGCAGGACAGACCCAGGCCAGGCACAGACACCACCGTGCTGTCCTGCTGGCAGTGCTCCACACACTTGGGGAAGAGAGTCCCTGTGGAAACGGGTCGTGGTGACACGTCTCAGCGCTCCACAGCCAGGCTCAGGCACCACTCAGAGCCACTTCTTCCAGATGTTTCTGGGGCAGCTCCTCAGGCTTCCAGTGGCCTCTCTGCCTAGGAAAACGTGGCCGTGGAGGCGGGAGGATGACCGACAGCCCCTGCTCTGGCTGTGCACAGGGCCGTGGCGAGCACTCATGTTCCGTGTCCCCAGCGTCCACCCCAGCCCCTCCCGCCCTGTGTTGCTGTGAATCTCAGGATCCCGGTGGCTCAGTCCTGCCCCGAGCCTCACTCGGACCTTCATCCCTGAGCGATCTGAGCCTCGGGTCACCATCACTTGGCCAGCCAGAGTTTGCACACTTGTCTACATCAGGGTTAGGCCAGAGAGTGCCGGGACACAGCAGATCACCCAGTCGGTCTCTCTTCTCAATGACTAAGGACACGTCCCCTGCCAGGATGGTGAGTCCTGTAGGGAGTCCACCATCCATGTGGAGGAGAGGGCTGCCCGCAGAGTGTGTGGGAGTCTGCTGGCGGCTTCTTGAGCCCTCAGCCAGGTGCTGGCCCTCACAGGAGGAGCAGGCGGAGCCCACGCAGGGCTGGGAAGAAAGAGTCCACATTCCCGCTGCCAGGGTGAAACCATCACACCACCACAGATCCGGGAGAGCACAGAGGGCACTGCCTCAGGGTGGGAATGTGAGCTGCTCCACAAACCCAGGAAATGTGCCAAGCCCTACGCTTCCTTCCTAGAGGGAAGAGGTGCAAGGTGAGATGGCTTATCCTTTTCCCGGATGGGTGTGTCCCAGTGTGACGCACGTCACCAGATCCCTGAAACATTGCAGAGGACAGGTTTCTGCATCGTCACAGCGTTGATCTCCTGCACTCCGGACGTGTGGTTACAGGGTGTCCAGAGTACTTGCAGTCAGCATTAATAGGATCCACGGGGCCGGGTGCAGTGGGTCACGCCTGTAATCTTAGCATTTTGAGAGGCCAAGGTGGGTGGATCACCTGAGGTCAGAAGTTCAAGACTGGCCTGGCCAACATGGTAAAACCTTCTCTCTACAAAAATTAGCTGGGTGTGGTGGCACATGCCTGTGATTCCAGCTACTCGGGACGCTGAGGCAGGAGAATCACTTGAACCCAGGAGACGATTGGCGGTGAGCCAAGATGGCACCATTGCACTACTGCCTGGAGTCTCACAGAGTGAGACTCCATCTCAAAAAGTAATAATAGGACCCAGGGATGGTGGGTGAGAGTGTCCAGGTGTCGAGGCATGGACAACGCCGTGACAGGGAAGAGTGCCCTTAGTCCTGGGGCGGGGCCGTGAAAGCATGCTGTTGTCCGTCTCGGGTGGACGCAGACTGTCCTCACCCGCTGCCCAACTTTACCGCCTCTGCCACTGGCCAGTCATGTGGGACGGTGGTCCCGTAAGATGGTAACACTGGATTTTACTGTACCTTTTGTGTATCTGGATAGGGGTGAGCGTTCTCACATGCACCCACTCACACGTCCCGTCCGGCCTCCAGAGCCCAGCTCCCTCCCTCTCAGGGCGACTTCCCGAGGCTGTGCACCTGAGGTTCTGCTGTCCTCGCAAGTGGGTGTCCTCTGCCCTCAGCTGCAGGAGGTGGGGTGCTTTCAACGTCACCTCCAGGCCCGCGGCTCTCTGCACTTCCCACTGCGACTTGGCTGAGCTGGGTCTGCCGTTTGCCCGCACGTTGGTAGTCCATGGTCCCCTTAATGATGCTTTCCCACACAATGCCAGCACTGCGCGGTCAGCTTCAGTACCAAAGAGGCCATCGTCCAAAGAAAGCCACAGGTGCAGGCCCGGCAGCGATGCCAGACACTCACCTGAAGGGACATGGGTGGGACCTGGACAACGTCCCCCACAGACTCATGTGTGCCTTTCTGTCCACAGGAGAACGACTATCTTCAAGACTGCCTTGATGCAATCCAGCAAGACTTCGTGATTTTTAACAGGGAAAAGTGAGTGTGTGGGGGTGGGTAAGCGTGGTGGCAGGGAGGAGGAAAATGGGGCCAAGGTTAAAGTTTTCTTGGTCACATGAGTTGGCATCTGTGGGCCTGGGGTACGTGGCCTTGCTCTCATGCAAGTCCTGAGACCCTGCAGCCACGTGACCTCCATGAGCCTGGGTGTGTGGCCCCCCTCTCACACAAGTCCTGAGACCCCCCCCACCCCGCAGCCACATGACCTTCGTGGGCCTGGGGTGCATGGCCCCTGCTCTCTTTGGGGACTCTGAGCAGCAGCTGTGGAGGGGAGCGGCGGGAGGCCCCTGCCAGGCTCTGGCGTGTTTGGGCTCCACTCAGGGCCCGTGGCTGAAATCATCTGGGAAGAGACCAATCGTTTGCCCAGACAAGGGGAGGGGGCTTCCTAGGAGGCCCTGCCAGGGCCACGTTAATTCCTGACGCAGGCACGCCCCCGGTCACTCAGCTGACCTTTCCCAAATTGCAAGTACGAGGGAACGGAAAGGGCAAAGGTGGCTGGTGGCAGGCAAGGCAGGCCAGGGACAGCAGCAGCTGCCACGGTGGGGCCCAGCTGCCATGGGTGCGCCCTGTGCTTGCATGAGTGCCTCCTGAAGGAGTGGTCTCTGAGCTGTTGTGGGCAGGGTGTGCAGGCTGGCAAGTGCAGACCCTGGGGATCAGAGGTCCAGGTGATGAATGAGGTTCAGCCAAGCCTCGTTCCCAGGTCGCTGACCTGTGGCACCTGCACACTCAGGCCTTCTGGCTGGAAACACGCCAAGCCTTGCCAGTGTCCTTGCATGCCCCCGCCCACCCCCAGGCCCCCTGTCATACTCAGTGACTGTATCGGGGGCATGGCCTTTCCAGCAGACACCCAGCCTGTGGCCCACACTTGGGCACCCACGCCATGGCCTGTTCCCTGAGCCCCCGGGCAGGTCATGGGACAGTGATGCTGGGGTGGTGGGGGCGTAACTCCCTCCATGTGTTCCTGCCACCCCAGGCTGAAGAGGAGCCAGGACCTCCTGAGCGAGCCTCTCCCCGCCCTTGGGCCCAGGGATGTTGCGGAGCCTCTGGAGGACGAGGCAGAGCCCTCCGCCTTGCCCATGTGCGGCCCCATCTGCCCCTCGGCCGGGAGCGGCTAGGCCGGGACGCCCGTGGTCCTCACCCTCAGGCTGGTTTAGAGACTCAACTGCCAGAGGAGGGCCACGGGGCGGAAGCCTGGCATTATGTTCCCACCCAGCAGCCTGGCTGGCAGTGCCCGCAGTGCCCTGGACACATTTCATACCTCGGGTTCGTGGTGTTGGACGGGACAAGAGGCTGTGGGTGCAGCAGGCACCTGTGGAGGCCAGCAAGGAGGGCACTGCCCATGGGCCCTGGGACCTGCCTAATGGCGAAAGCGCTGCTGGGCGCCCCTTTGTTGCGCACAGGGGGCCGGGGCCACAAATGGGAAGGAGCCCTTGGCCCCGCTTGGCCCCCAGGCTGGGCGTGGCCTACTTCACAAGGTGAGCACTTGCAGGGTGCCCAGGCTCGGCCCAGTTCTTGGAGGTCAAGGGCGCGGGCTGTGGGTAGCGGGTGGGGAGGCAGATGTTTTCTGATCACACTGCTCCAGCATTTCTGCTGCTTCTGTATAGTTTTCACCTCTGAGAATTACAGTGTGAGAAGCGCTTGGTGTGGTGTGTCCTGTGTCTGCCCAGCCGTCAGGCCCAGCTGGACTCGGGGTGGGCAGCTCCTCAGAGCAGAGCCTCCCCAGGGCTCCAGGAGCACGGCATGGCGTGGGTGCCTGTCTCCGTGGCCCTGGAGCCATAAGGCTGTGGGAGGCGTTGACGGTGCTGGAGGCAGGAGCCCAGGACAGCACCACGCACGGTGGAGCCATCGCAGTGCCAGGCAGTGCTCGGCCCTCCGTGAAGGGACACAGCCCTCTCGCTGTGCCAGGTGGTTCTGTCACTGGGACTGTAACTGGGTAAATGGCCTGTGTGCTTCTCTCTGGTCCCGCTGGAGAACAGGCTCAGCCCGTCAGCCCAGCACTCCGTTCCTCTGGGGGAATGCATGTGTCGAGTCTGCGCCGCCTCCCAGGACAGCAACCATGGTGAACATGTGTCTAGATCCGTGTCCACGATCCCTGCTGCACCCCTGGCAAACAGGTCCCTCCTGTCCTTGGGTGGGCTGAGATGGCAACGGCCAAGGAACATCTGGGGAAGAACCGGACGTGCCAGGAGCAGAGTCCTAAGTCCGAGGGGAGAGGACGCAGCCCCCCGTCCCCTGCCCGCCCCTGCCCTCTGAATCCCAGAAGGAATTAGCCAGCAGCTCACATGGGGGACATGGCGCCCAAGTCACCACCAGGAAGGGCGGCCCGGTCCCTGTGAAGGCCCTGAGGTGGTCCTGTGTGCTCGGTGGAAACGTGGGGATGTCAGAGGCAGATGCGGGGGAAGGACAGGTGTGGGTGGGGTTTGTGTAAGTGCGTTTGGGGAACATGGTAGGTGGTGCTCCTTGTCTTTCCCCGAGACACTGGTGGGGTGTGGGTGCTGTCTGGTTCCCCTGATCACCCCCAACCCTGGGGCAGAGCCAGGGATGCCAACTCCCCACAGCTGGGCCACAGGGAGCCCCGAGAAGGAAACGCCGAGGACCCAGGGCCTCCTCCAGGGCCGCTGCCTGGGATCAGCACTGCTTTTGAGAAGCCCAGGGTCAAAGATGCACCTGTCCATGGTCCCCAGAGACCATGGCAGGAAATTCCCCATGGCCATTGGTGCCTGGGCAGGGCCTGGAGGGCCAGTGGCAGAAGGTGAGTCCCCGGCCCTCTGTGCTCGTCGGCCAGCAGTGAGTGCCCAGTGATCACAGCCAGGTCCTGCTCTTGGTGTGAGGTCAGCTATCTGGGAACGTCCACACCTAGAATACGAACTAGCGCCCGTTTTATGAGATGAGGTATGCACCAGCACCACAGTCACGACCTTAGGGGGCTCGGGGAGGAGCCTTGTGGCTGCCTGGCCTTGAGTGCTGGGCCTGCATCTCTGAGCAGGGCCCGCCTGGGTGACGGTGGTGTGCGCCTGGATTCCAGGCGCTCCTGTGCATGCTGATGGCCTTCTGGTGCAGCCACAGCTGTCCAGTGAGAAGTGTGGGGACCCCCTCTGCCCCACCCAGGCTGCCCTGCTGCTCCTCTTCCCTGTGGGAGGACAAGCCCCTCCCTGCCATGCAGAGGAGCCCTGTGCAAGGGAGAAGAGCTGTGGCTGCAGGAGCGGTCGGACCAGCCACAGCCAGCCGGGCCGCCCATGCAGACCATGTAGGGGAGAGGAGACGCGTTTTCCACGCACCAGACGTCTTTAATGGGCCTGATTCACATCAGAGGCTGGATGACGCCCGTCCGTCAGGCGGTGGGTGGCATGCACAGGCTCCTGCCTACAGGTGTCCTCACGTACAAAGCTGCTACTAAGAAGCCTATGGAAACACACTCTGTAATGAAAGGGCAGTGTCTTCCTAAAGGATCACGAGGGTTCCCTGGACGGGGGCTACTACAAAGCTCAGGTGTGGGCCTCGGGGTGTGGAGAAGGACCCCTCCACGGGCGGGCTGTGCTGCACTGAGTTCCGACGGCTCCCTGAAGTCTCAGCAGCTGTGTGAGGCGGAGGGCTCTGCTCCCACCTCCTCCCTGGCCCGCCACGGGCACAGGCCTCTGGAGAGGGGCTGCGGGAGCGTGGGGCTCTTTGAGGCAGTGATGATGGGTGTGGGGAGGAGGCGCAAATGCCCACCAGGCGCGACTCGGTGTTGGGGTGCTCCCGCGCGCTCTGTGCAGCCCGGCGGGTTCCCTGTACCCAGGCTGGGCTCAGTGGGCACTGGGGTGCCTGAGCTCAAGCCGCTGGCACCGTCCCTGCTGTGTGGCGCCGCCTCACCCTGGCAGTGACGTCTCCCCAGGTTCAGCCCTTCTCTTGAGGGCCTCATGGCAGTAGGACCTGGGACCCCACAAGGGGAGCCTGTGGGGAGGGGGAAGGCAAGGCCGCCAAGCACCTTCAAGAAACGTCTACAAAGGAAAATGCTAAGGGGGGCAAGTGCCCTGGGGCCCCCGTGGCCTCGGGTGGGGCCAGCAGGGCTCACAGGGCAGGGCCTGGGCGTCTAGGAGAGAGAGGTGATGTTGGAGCGGCCGCCGGGTGGTGCCATGATCTTCTGTGCCGTGCGTCGGGCAATGTGGTCGTCAGCCTGAGACCCTGAGAAAGGGCAGGGTGGGCAGGAGAGAATGGGGCCGGGGCGGGGTCCCTTCTATCCAAGTGGGGAGGCAGATTCAGTGACTACATCAGTGGGGCCAGAACCAGAAGGCCAAGGGGACCAGGTCCCCGGCAGGCACTGCCCTCCCTGAGGGCTGTGGCGCATAGGGAGTGCACGGGAGGCTGCCAGGAGATGTCTGAGGCCCAAGGGCCTGCAAACTCACTCCAGGCTGACCTGCAGGAGCCCTTCCTGTCCTGAGAGGAGCCTGGGCCAGTCCTGCCTCATCTCTGCTGTGGCCCCGGGTGAGGAAAGGCTGCCCCGCAGGCTCCCAGAAATGGCAGTTTCTCAGGGACCTGACCCCGGCCTGAGGCCCTGGGAAGTGAGCAGGGCCTGCTGTCACCTCCCCATGCAGGGAGGAGGCACCAGAGGCCAGACGCTGGCGGCCGGGGCCCTTGTACGCCTTCCTGTGTGCCTCTCTGGGCCCCTGGACACAGCTCAGATCCCTCCCTCACACCTCATGTTTGGTTCTGAGGCTGGCTGGGGACCTGGATTCCATGTGATCCTGGGGTCCCCGTCAGACCCCTCACCTCCCCTGAGGCTGGATCCATGCTCACCCTGGGATCCACCTGACACCCCCACCCCAGCACACCATCCTCAAGGTGGGGGCTCATCACAGCTGCCCCAGGCAGACGCTGGGCAGGAGGGGTCTCCTTAAGTGGGCTCAGCCCTCAGCCTCCATGATACCCTCAGCAGCGTCTCCTGCCCCAGTCCCCTGCTGGCTGCTTCCATGTGCCCCATAAGTGAGAGCAGGCCCTGCAGCTCCTCTGGGCACAGGCTGGGCCCTGGTACTTGAGGCCCTGGGGCCCCTCAGACGCTCCGGCAGAACCCCTCACACCCCCACCGGTACCTGAGGCCCAACTTACCAGAGAGGCTGAACCCCGACTGGTGCAGGTTCCGCACGGGGGGGACTGAGATCTTCCCTGGGCAGGACGCGCGGGCCTGGGTGCCACTCCCCGGCTTGGCAGGCACCATCACCTCATGCACGGGCCCGTCATACAGCCCACGGGGCACACCGTGGATCTCCGCCAGCTGTGGGCCAGAGACGGGCATGAGGGGCTGAGCGTGGGCAGCTGGACGGCTGTGCCTGCTCAGCGCCTCTCCACTGCCAGCTTCAGGAGTTTGGGGCTCCCCTGGAGGGGTGCACACCCCATGTTCACACACATCTCCCTCCTCGCAGACCTCCCCACACATGTACAATGCCTGCCCGAGGTCCCACCGTCCTGCCTACATGTGTGTGCACATCCCTCCCTCAGTCACCGACACAGGTGTATGCGCTCACACCTCCCTCCCTGAGGCCCCACGTGCGCCTGTGTGCACAGACGCCACTCACCACCACACGTATTGCTGTGCACGTGGGAAGCACCTGGCAGTCCATGTTAAGAGACTGAAAGGCCACGGGAGGTGCCCCCACGGCTGAGCTCCTGACAGCCTGAGTGGACAGAAGCTCACGCCACAGTCCACACATCGGTGTGCACATCTGTCCACGGGGAATCCCAGAAGGACCCATACTAAGGTCCCACTGGTGGCTCCCATGGGGAGGTGGCTTTCTGCTCACTTCATATCTGCATTTGGCCACTGTGGATGACTGAGGTGGCACCCAGCTGCCGTTCACAGGTGCCAGCAGAGCTGATCCAGGGCCGGGGGGTCCCAGCGCCAGGCCCTGCCCCACTTAGGCCCACCAGGGCCTTGGGCAAGCAGTGGCTCCACTCCCTGACGCCTCCAGGGGCTGGGCCAGGCTTACAGGAGGTGCGTCCTGGGCCCAGAACTCCCCCGCCCACCTGCTGCCTGCAGGACACCCCCTCGGGCCTGCCCTACCCTGTTTCGAGCTTTGATCCTCTTGTAGACAAAGTCCGGGAATGTTTTCCGAGGGATGAAACGGCCTGCCCCTGGGGTGACGAGCAGGTTCCCGTCCTCCAGCACCACTCGGCCCTGGCTTACGACCACTGCGGGCGCCCCCCGGCACTCCAGTCCCTCCAAGATGTTGTACTCCACGTTCTGGGGAGAGAGGCATGAGGGTCCAGTGTCCCACGGAGCCGCAGGACACTGCAGCCGCCCAGCGTGGAGCAGGCCTGCTGTGCCTGCACTGAGCCCCTCTTGGAACTCAGAAGGGATTATCCCCTCAGCCTACGGAGCGTGTTTCCAAGTCACATGCTTCTCTCCAGGACAAAGGGGACAAGCGTGGGCAGGCAGGGACTGTCACTTCTGCCTTGGTTGAGGAGTTGGAACTCTGTAGGGATGGTCCCCTCAGCCTATGGAGCTCGTTCCCAAGTCACATGCTTCTCTCAAGGACAAAGTGGGCAGGCAAGGTCACTCGGCTAGCCAGGTGCACACGGCACTGCTCTGCCCTGGCCTCCTCCTGGGCACAAGGGGCCGCAGGTGTCACCACCATGCAGCGAGGTGACGTGGACAGGGCTTGAG